TTAGCTGAAGCCCCAGTTCTAACTGTTCCAAACAGTTTCGGCCATATCACAGAACTGCTGTCCAGTCATTTTGACAAGAGTGCATGAAGATAACTGGATTAGCACACTACCCTCAATGTAAATTCATTGCCATGAAATACTACCCATCCACCCATCAAAATTTCTCTGCCACTTATTTTGTGCAGGGATACTGGGGGCTGTAGCCTACCCTATCCTAGCATGCACTGTAGCAGGTCACACCCTGGGCAGGTTGGCAGCCAATTACATGACTAACACAGACCGACAGACAACACATTCATACCAATTTACCGTCACTGCACTCAGATGAGGGAGATCATGTAACCCCTCAAAGAAAGAAACCAGCCAGCCAGCTGGTTTAAAACAAGGAGTTTCAAAGTGTAACCACTGCACTGCTGTGCTGCCCCAGCACCAACCTTTTTTTTTTACGGTACTTATTATTCAGTCAATACTCTTATGCTTACTTGGACAGGAATTAAAATGTAGTAGTATTAGAGTTGGTGTGACTTCAAAATGAAGGCATTGTTCAGTGTAATATTCAAATCCACTTTGAGCGCAGAGATTGTGAGAGATGAATAACATGTTTCTGTTGCTCTTTTGAGAGTGACAAGAGAAAGGCGGAACTTGAAAAGAGGTTGGGAGTGCTAATGAGCCTTATTTTAAGAACACAACACAGCCATGAATATTTAACAGCTTGTCTTCTTGATGAAGCACCAAAATAAAAAGTCTGATGAATTCACCATTCTGAGTGAAAAATGGCCTGTGTAAGGCTGCTGCTGCCAATATGCTTCTGTACAATATTATTGTATAATAGTTATTCATGCAATAAAACAAAACCTCTACATTTTTGTCATATTGCAAGAGTGATTTTGAATTGGGCCTATATTGAATATAATCCTGATTGCCGCAGTAACTCATACATTTGGAAAACAATTTTCACTGGGACACAAAGCCAATAAACCCCCCACACAAAACCATGCCTTTAAAACTGTTATGTGCTTTAAATAAGTCTACCATCAACTTGATTACCATCTTCATTTCTCCATCATAGCAAATGGCACTTCATTATTTAGCTATGATGAAGCAATGATGGATACGCAAATAAACTTTCTCCACACGTCTATAGAGGACAAGTTTCAAGGTAGTCTGGAAGAGATCCTGCAAGGTGCTAAGTCCCATGGACTCACTTTGTTGCTAGGCAACAGCAAGGGCACCAGTCCTTTTTCAGGAAAACAACTTCACTGTCCAAAATAAATAAAGATAGAAGGAACACACCGTGAACCTCTTGAGCGGGGTTAAGTCGCTGGGAATAACACTCAGCAAACATCAAGTAGTGCGGCTGCAAAGGCCATAGAGTTGTTTATGTTTGGTAATTAGATTCTTTACTCTCAAAATGCAAAGAAACGTACAGCATATCTACGATTTTCATAAGGTTTAAAGAGTGAGACTACGCTAATTTGAATATTATTTTCTAAACTAATTAGGTCATATTTTTAGCTTGTGTGAACACTCAAAAAATGGAAAATGTATGTAAATGCTGCATGCGGCTTTGTCCTTAATGATCATAAAGAAAATGTGAGCAAACACCCTTAGAACAGATCAAAAGGCTACATGGATACTAACAACAGTAACTAGGACTCCTTATCAAAGAAGGATGGCTTTATCTCATTAAAGCAGGAGAGAAAGGGGGGAAAAAAACACTTGTTCCAAAGGGAAATGAAACAGTTTTGCCTGTATTTGCTTTGCTATTTAGCTAGAACAGCTCAAATTAATTACTCTCATCTTCCTCACACTATTCATTATTCTAGCTGTAAACACATTAGTCAAATGAAATGTCTGTGAGCACACCTGGCTTTCTTATCTTTCGTGATGTAGACGACAGGGTGGTTCAGCTTTCCAACGTGCTGCAAGCAGAGTATTAAAGAAAGCCAGTGCCATTTATGGGATATGGTACCTGCCGCTTCTTCTACCGATAGCTGCCTCCCAGGAAGCCTTAATGTATGAGATTTGTCAGTGTCAATTTCCCAGCTAATCTCTCTGGTCCACCTCGCTGCTGCCTCTGCCGCCCATTCATTCTGATGCTCTGTCTCTACCTGCTCACACTATCCCACGTAGGGTACAAAGGCAACGGGAAGCCGAGGAATAGGACATACATATGTGGTAGCTGATGCTGCAGTGTGACCCTGGATGTGCAGCCAACAGACTTGATACACATCCAAGGGAAACTGTGCTGGCTTCATACAAACCTATTTTCCGGTCAACAATGGCTCACAGTTTTCACTGACGACACATTCTAAAATAAAATATAACAGACTCCCGTTGATCCGCCGATTGTACTTAGAAATTACTATGATTTAACATACTAAATATTTTAACTGAGAAATATCCAGAAGTTGTTTCATGCTAGAGATTCTTCCTGTTCACTTTGCAGAAAAGCTCAGAAAATGCCTCTGTTATTAGAGAGTAAACAAATATATGTGGAGAAAATGCAAATGAACAGCTCATTATACATTTCCTGTCAAATAGTAAATGTTTATGTTAGTGTTTCCATTGCATAAAAAAAAGTTAACTTTTTTACTTTATCTTTTTACTAATCTTTTGTTCATTGGTGGGAAGCTGGTGAGGGATCACATCATTGCACCAATGACTTACTTAAATTTCTAATTATGCTTATTTCATTAATTAATTCATACATTTAAATACTGTTTTCAATTAAACCTTCGTCACAAAATGTCACCACAGGCAAAAGGGATGGAGCAATCAATATAACTACATAGTGTATTTCTGCAGTTTCATTTTCAGTGTTTGGGTGCAACCTTATTTGATGCCGATGTACTTTCTAGCAGAGTAGAGTTAAAAGAGATCAGAAGTAGCTCATTTACAGTTCCAATTTGTTTATGAAATGCAGTAGTTTTTGGGGTTTTATTTCCCGTTGGAATATGTTCATGTTATTTCAAAAACATTGTACATTTGGTTGATAAGGACCAAACCATTCCTACTTATAATAATGTGACATATAATGTGGCATAATAAATGCAAATAGAAGGCATACATGAGTGACACTGCAACAAGTTAATGCAGAGTGCTTTTTCCAAACTGCAGCTTGTCGCAAACACTCTCAAAGAGAGCTCAGAGTGCATCTTAACCAGGTTCAGCCACAGTGACATTCAACACTGAGACTCAAACACAAAGGACGGATAAACTGCTCATCAATATAGAAAAAAGCTTTTTGTTACAAATGTATTACTCTGGGTTCTGAATAGCTAACACATTATTTTAACAGTGTCAAAAAAACAGAATTACTCAAGAAAAGGGGAAGTATATGTTACAGCACCAGACTAGTATTTGGCAGGCAGAGAGGTTTGCCTTAAGTTCTGCAGTGGGCAAAATGCAAATTTGGGCTACATTAAGAAAGCCCATGTTCTTTGCTCATTACTGTTGGACGCTGGCACACTCCAAGGCCTCCTGGCCAATAACATTACAACATCACTTAATTAAAATAATTCTGCAAAAAACTAAATGAAGAACTTGACTTACATTAGCTTCAGACTTCAGAGAATGACATTCAAACCTTACCAATGAGAAATGAAAAATTGGAACATCCACAGCACTGCAGGTGTTCGAGTATGACTGTAGTCATTTCCAGACTGTAACTATTTTTCTAGTCTTTTGCATTTTTTTAGTGTTGATCACACACTCTCTTGTTTGGTTTGCTTCATGTTGTTTTCTGTCCTATCAGAGGACTTGCTTTTGCTGCTTATTATCATGTCAGAAAATATGCGTTTAATTTTTGGGAACTTATTTTTAAATGTATTGACGCATTTCCACCAAAATAAGCTGCCCCAAACATTTTCTCCCAGCACTTCCATGGTATGTTAATGACATTTTTGTGAATATGTTAATAGTTTGTTAGCAAAATAGTAATGCTAGATGTAATGATTTGTCTTATTCTGTAATGTGTGCAGTTTTCACTCCCTGGTTTAAAAAAATAAAAATAATATATTTTGTGGAATCAGGAGTACTGTGAAGTACGAATTCTTGTACAATTTTTCTTATGTAACCCTTTGCACCAGGACAGTGTACGAGAAGGCGTGCATGAGGCTGATGAATTAATCTCTCAATAGCAAACAAAATATAGGTGTAGTTGGGGAAAGAAAGTTTATTCTTGAGTGTCCTTCTCAGGTTATCAAATACCAACACTTTGGGTTATGGTTAATGGGAAACAAGTGGCTTGGAACACCCAACACAACTGGTGGCATTTGTGCTCCCACATCAAACACTGAAACTATGGGTTGCAAATGCACCAGTAATTGACAACCTAGGAATGAGACTCAGCAGTCAACTATCTATCTATCTATCTATCTATCTATTATCTATCTATCTATCTAACATTTTTTTAAAGGAGGCTTATTCACTGTCTAGTTGAGTTAAATGTTAAAGACTGGAAAAAGGGGGAAACGGCTAACCTGCCTCTGTACAACATCCTTCAATCTCGTTGTCACAGTGAGGTTTGCAGGCAAATAGCGACTGGAAGTTACTACTTCCAACCAAGAAATAGTCTGGTGAGGCATTACCCACCCATAAAAACAAATTGTTGTTTTTGTACAGATTAAACAAATTATATATAATGTCTTAATTAGTGAGATTTAAAGGTGATGGTAGGTGGGTTGTGATAACTTTGGGCAGAGCCAGGCTAGCTGTTACCTCCTGTTTTCCATGTTTTATGCTAATCTACGCTACCAGTTGGTGGCAGTAGTTTCATATTTAGGGCACAACCATGAGAGTACTATCATTCTTCTCATCTAACTTGACACAAAAGCGAGAGAATTCCCCAAAATGTTGAACCTATCCTTTAACATTAAGATTTGTGGTGCTAAACAAAGCATCTCCAGTTTGGCTGCCAACAGTAAAAAGCTGTATTTGTACTGCACCAGTGACAAGACAGGGCTGAGAAAGTGTGTGTTGTATTCTTTCTTTCTCACCTTGACATTAATAATTTATCTGGCTGCATTCCATTAGGATCCGTAGGAACTTGGGCTTCATATGTCCAGGCTCACTGCAGTGTGTCAGCTACAAAATACAAAGAAGACAAAGACAAAGAAGTTACTCAACATGACAAAAGGAACTGAATTCTTAAAAAACGAGTGATTTTAGGAATGACTGTTGTCATTTAAAATATCTTCATGTGTTTTGGATTAATTGCTCAGTAAACTGGATGATATGGAAAATTACTGTGTGGGTCCAGACTTTACAGTGACAGCCATTTTTTGTCATGATGAAATTCTGACACTGTGGTACGTTCTAACAAAATTCGATGAAAATTGAAATTAAAAACTCCCAAGATGAGCAATCACTTTTTGTGCATGAGCTTTGTCTGATGTGATGAACAGTAGAACATATGGGGCCATTATTGTTATAAAACTATACACAAATTTGAGTGGAGAGTTGTGTAACTGTATCTCAATCTGTGTGCGTAATCAGACTTGTACATGTGTAAAACATTACAAATCTGTATTAAGAAATGTATTGGGATTTGTAAATTTGTAGACAAATCTGTAAATGCATACATTGTATTTCTCAATTCTTTTTGCATGCAACATTTCTGGGTAGTGCTTGTGGCGGCAGTTGTGTCGATGCAAGGCAGAATAAAATTTAAACTTGATTTCTTGCTGTATATTCATGTTTTTGCAGCATTTGTTAACAAGTTACAAACTTGTATATCAAGTGGCACTAACAAGCTAGCTAACTGGACCATTTAAAGATATAATATGTGGTGTGGCTTGTTCTCAATGGAGTAATGTGTGCTTCATGTGAGCTCCCACTAAGCTTCTATTTTAATTAAGATTTATATAGTGCCATCTTGTACAACTGTAAACCATTTTCTAAGATAATCTAAAGGTGAAATAGGTTTGCTGAAGTGTACAGATAGCTACAAATTTGCATCTAACACAAGGCCCAGCACCTCCTCGGACCAGGTGAAAAGACCCAACCCCCACAGGACTCTAGAGACATGGATACGTCAGGTCTGAAGTCAGAGATCCTCTCACAGAAAGCTGACATTCAGCTGTGATAAAGTAGGAATTGAAAAATGCTCTTGCAGAAGATTTTGACTTCCTCAAGAGTGAACTGCAAGCTGTGAAAAACTAAATTATAAACAACACTGCAGCGCTCAACTCAGAGATCTGCCACGTCAAGGTTAACCTTAGAGAGGTTGAAGTGGGGCTATCAACGTGGTTGGACAGAATGGCAACTGCAAAACACTGCACCAGTTGAAGAGAGAAATGGCAGTACTAAAAGATAAGTGCAAGGACATGGAGGGAAAAATGAGGAGATGCAACATAAGAATCATCTGTTTCCTAAACACCTAGGTCCAGCTCCACAACCTCGGTCTCTAAGCTGCTAACTGTGGTGCTACAGCTGGACAATGAGCCGCTGATTGACCGTCTGCACTGGAGCATGGGTCCAAAAAGGCCAGGCAGAAAATCTTGTTGATAAACTACACTACTACCCAGGCTGTGTTGAGATACTGCGCTGTGCACGCACTCTGGGACCATTTTGTTTTAATGGAGAACCAGTCACAATCTTTCACGACTGCGCTGCAAGTGTGGCCAAGGCCCGGGCTGCATTCACTGATGTGAGGAAGCTTCTTCGTGACTGACAGGGCGTCTGGTACAGAATATTGTTTCCTGCTCACCTTTGAGTAATGAAGAGGGAAGGACATGGAATTTACTGATCTGGACAAGGCTATGGCCTATGTGAATTAAGATGATTATTCCGCCTTCGGAGGTCCGTGAGTGACTGACAATGTTGACCAGCTAAGATTACTCTCTTATAGGATGGCTCCCCATTTCAAGGTATATTTTGATTGGTTAGCATTAGTCAAACATTAGTGATGTACTATTTTAGTTTCGAAATATTGCTGCTGATTATGTGGGTCAGTAAGGCAACATTTTACTTCATGACTATTATTAACCCATTTATTCATTTTGATTACTTAAAAGGTAGACTAATGGAACAGGTCAGCTGTTATTTTTGTCATTCCAATGCAGGCTCTGTTGGAGCATTATAAGTTAAATTCATTAATAGGAGGAAATTATTAGCTTTAAAGTTTGGCTTCTCAAGAGAATTAATAATTATCCCTCCTTAAAAAATTTCTCTCTCACTTTATAGAATATTACATTCAATAATTTATTAAGCCACACTATTTTATTTATTTCTCTCTCTATAGGGGAGGCTTGGCGGGAGCCCGGGCGACTAGCTTTATAGTTCCCCACCACAAGTACTACATGTGTGGATTTCTTTATGAGGGATGTCATAATCACCTTATTCTTGTAGGTGAATGGGAGTGGGGAATTACAAAACCTTTCTACTTGCTAGACCAATTCTTTTTAATGATATTAGAGGGTATGATGGTTGCCCAGTTAACTTTGTGAGTTGGAATGTTGTACTTAAAACTGCTTAATACAGACATTGCATTCCTACAGGAGACTCATATTTGTCCCTTTTGATAATTCCTGGCATAGCAGGGGATGGGCAGGCCAGGTATATCAATCTAATTTCCACTCTAAGGCTAGAGCCATTATGATTAGTAAAAATATTCCATTTACACTTTCAAATGTACAAGCTGATTCTGCTGGGCGATATGTCATTGTGTTTGGAAAATTATACACGCTTCCATGTATCTTAGACTGTATTTATGCCCTGAACTGGGATGATCTTACATTTTTCACCAATCTTTCTTCTCGTTTACCAATATGACAACACATTGTTTTCATGTGGCAGTGACACAAATTGTCCACTCTCCTCCCTTCTAGACTGTTGTGTTTTTAAGAGGGCACCCCTGTCCAAATCCACACATTTTATTCAGCTCTTCCTAAAACATGGTGTAGCAGATGTATGGCGGTTTCGTATCCCACCTCCAGAGCATACTCTTTTTTCTTGACAAAAGAATCTTGCATCTTACAACTGAATGTGACAAAGGGGCCATAGTCATCTTGGTTATGACTATGAAAATGCATATTCCTAATACTCAAGCCACATATCGCCAGTGGCAGTTAAATCCTTTGCTTCTTTCAGAAGAAAGTGCACCAAATTCATATAATCTGAAACAGTTTCTCGGCATCAATCAGAATTTCATCATCTGCTGTATGGGAGTCATTAACCATTATATCTAAGGGGCCAGGTCATTTCATATTGTGCCAATAAAAATGGCTAATACTGAACAGATTGACAGAAGTTAACAGATGAGATACTAGAGTAAAATACGCTATATAGCCACTCTCCCTTTCTGGATACAATAAAAAAACATTGGTCATTACAGACCGAGTCTGACCTCTTGTCTACTCGACAGGCTGAATACCTCATCTCCAAATCAAGACATTACCACTATGAGCAGGGGAAAAAGGTTGGATGTTAGCTTGGGCACCAGCTGCGCCAAAGACCTGTTCAATCCATTACTGCAATTAATGATGACCAAGATCAAAAATGTACTGATAATGGCAAAATCAATTCTTGTTCAGTAACTAACCCTAGAAGTTTTCTTTAATTCCCTAAATATCCCTTCTGTAGAAACATAACTGGCTGTTGCGTTGGAGAAGGATCTTTCGGTCAGGGAGATTAGAGCCATGCAAAGCGGTAAATCTCCAGGGCCAGACGGTTTTCCAACTGAATTGTTAAAAATATTTTCGGAACAACTTTACCCCTTGTTACTGTCGGTATTCAAAGAGTCTTTTTCCACAAAATCCTTACCTCCAACCATGAATCAAGCAGTTATCTCTTTGTTACACAAAAAATATTAAAACCCTCTCAATTGCAGTTCATACCGCCCTGTTTCACTTTTGAATACAGATGCCAAAATTCTTGCCAAGGTCCTGGCATGTCGCCTTGAGAGGATTATCTCCTCTATTATTTCACCTGATCAAACAGACTTTATTAAAAATTCTTATTTCTTTTAACATTAGCAGCTTACTAAGTATCCTTTATAGTCCCTCTCCATCCGATCCCGGGGAAACCAAGGAGATACTTTTATTCAGCATTGAAAAAGCCTTTGATCGGGTGGAGTGGGACTTTTTCAAGATGTTACAAAAATAATTCAAAAATTAAATTCGACCCCAAATTTATATGTTGGATTAAAAGCCTATATACTCTCCCAATCTCTTCTCTTTATGCAGATGATATGTTACTGCTATATCAGACACTCTCAAGTCTTCCTGAATTACTGAATTTGCATACAAAGTTTGGAAGAGTATCTGTCTATAAAATCAACCTTGGGAAAAGGGAACTTCTGACGGGTCATATCTTTGGTCATCCCTTTGAATTCAAAAAGATGTAGATATATAGGTATGTGGGTTACACAATATCACAAAGATCTCTATAAGGCTAACTATCAGCCTCTATTATTCATTCAATCTTAAACAAGATATTGAAGAATGAATATGATTAAGATGAATGTGCTCCCTAAATTTATTTATTTATGTCTTCCTAAATTTTCTTTTCCCACTTTAATAGGTGAAACAGATTAATTCAGTAATAATCTGGAACCAGTTTAAGTGGTCTTTAACCTTACTGGCCTGCTGCATGCTACATGCTGCACCAGTGAGAAGAAATCATATGTTTGCTTTTAAGGCTTGGTCAACAAATGGAAAGAGCACAGTGTCTGATCTCTACATTGATAATACTTTTACCTCATCTGAACAGTTATGACAGAAATTTTATATGAAAACAAGCTCCTAATGGCCTTTTTCTCTCGGTTGGCCAGAAGGCTTATTCAATTCAAATGGAGAGATTCTCTCCCTATACGATCAGAGGGTCCACCAAAAAATTCTATGCCAAGTGGTAACCATTTAAATCCTTTATTGATAGTATGGCAGCTACCAGCGTAACTTTGTAATGTATGTATGTATATATGTATTTATTTATATTCTTTTTTTATTTTTATCCTGTTTACTCTTAATTTATTTATTATGTATTGGTTACTATGGTTAACTCCTTTTCTATGTATATGTGAATTCATTTGTATGAACGTAGGTATATAGCAGTGTTAATTTCGAAAAATATGACGAAAAATGTTC